AATTTAATATCATCATTTCTTATATGAAAGCTTGGGATGCTAGACGAAAGACTTTAGGTTGTGTTTGACAATTAAGAGGGATCATATCAAACTATGAATCTATTCTTGGAAGCCATTATACCAACAATACTTGAAGTAATGTATATGATATAGTCCTCAAGTACATAGATTTCAAAGAATTTTAAGGTCTTTCGGTCCTTCTATTGATGAGTGGAGATTTTGTTACCCTATTCTTATACTTGACTGGATATTTCTACTTGGTAAATACATGGGTACTTTAATGACTGTAGTAAGCATGAATGCAAATAATAACCTTTTCCCGGTAGCATTCAAAATTGTTGAGTCAGAGTGTAATGAATCTTGGATTTGGTTCCTAAGCCATTCTTAGATAAATTATTTGTTGCTTATTTTGATGATATATTTGTATATAGTTCCACATTCAAGCAACATCTACAATATTTAATGGCGCTTTTTAAAATCTTATGGTACCACAAACTCTATTTAAACATTCCCAAATAAGAATTTGCCTCTTCTAGTGTAATGAATCTTCTTGTTCAACTACAAACTGAACTCACTGGACTTCAATGTTTAAAGGAACTATATGCCTATGATCCAAATTTCATCAAAATATGGGCATTTGTCTTCACAACAAAACAACATATAGCTTTTCTATTCAACATGGTTTTCTATTAAAAAAGACTTTGCTTTATATTTCTGATTCTTCATATCATCACCAGGTGATTAAGGAGGTGCATTGTGGGGGATTGATGACACATGTCAAGTGTGAGAAGACAATACAATAGCTGCAAAGTTCTATCTATTGGCCTCAACTCCGTCGTGAGTCATCTTGTGTGGTAGAACATTGTTTCGTATGCTAAACAAAGAAAGGGGAGGCCAAAACTGACGGCGAAATATAGGTTGTAAATCTTACCCTTGACAACATGCTCCACTATTTGTTGCAAGAACAGCCAAAAGCTTCAGATGATGAACTTATCGGCCAGGCCAAATTTGCTTAAAATTCAATGCCTAACCATTCCACTAGCATGTGCCCATTTAGTATTGTGTATACAAAATCTCCAAATCACACTATTGTTTATACGAAATCTCCAAATCACACTCTAGATGTGCTTGTGTTACCTAAATGCAAAATCAAATATAACAGCAGCTCTTTCCAATCAATTCACCACAATGCTAGGGTTGACCGCCACCTGATTGAATCCAATTCCAAATCCATCGCGAAATGCTGTTGTTACCACCCCTATTTAGTTGGAATCAAGCTCTTTTGATGCAGGGAATGCCTAAGCATCTTTATATGCAAGACTAATTTACCTTTTTTGCGTCTTTCCATCTTCAATCTTATTCCTTTCTGTTATCATAGTACAAAAAGATACTTATTTTTACTATCGTTTATAGTAAGGTTGGTATAGAGCACCATAGCTATGAATAAGGCAAAGGAGAATAGAATTGATATACATTATTTGTTTATGAACCTTTGTTTTGTTTATGAATACGTATGCTTGACTCATCAAGCGGCTAACAGAGGTGACTGGGCGAGAAAGGGAAATCTCAATAATCGAGTGCGAGCGGGAGGACGCGACGATTCAAAGGTCGGGCAGGAAAAACCAAATTGATGGAGCACGGGGCAACAACGGACGAGCTCGGGACAACGAATCTCGACGGCGGATGTGACGACGAGCTCGGGACGATGGATCTCAATGGCGGAGCCTCAGGATGGTGACGAACGAGCTCGAGAAGAACGGTCTCAAGGCGGACGCGATGGTGAGCTCGGGACGATGGATCTCGACGTGGAGCCTCGGGACAACGGCGAGCAAGCTCATGACGACTGATCTCGACGGTAGATGCGACGACAAGAGGACGCAACGATTATGAACCTCGGGACGACAGCGGATGCGATGATGAGACTACTTGGGATGGAGCTCGAAAGCTGAGCTCGGGATGGAGCTCGACATGAGGCTAGTCGAGCTCGAGCTCGGTATTTAATATACGAGCTCAACTCGAACACACCATGGCTCGAGCTTGCCTAGACTTATTTGCACCCCTAATCACAAGTACAAAATGAATTGAAATATACTTAATTACTCATTATAACATATTGTATAATCTTGAAAATTATTCATTAACAATATCTTTTATCCTTAAAGCAAGGAAGTCCAGGATTAGTTCAGAGTGATCAGTATAGGTACTTTTGTACTTTTGGTTTTTGTACAGTCATGGCTTTTCTGTTCTGTCTTTCTTTCTGTCGAAAGCCATGTACTATTCTGTAGATGATTGTTTTGAGGAAATGAAATCGGATAGATGTTTTGTTCCGCTGCATTTGATGATACATAGTAGCTCTGTGTTTGTTGTCTGTGTGAATTAATTATTTGGAAGATTCAGTTCCGAACCAAATTCCAAAGCTAGATCCTGGTTAGTGCAGCTCCGTCGCGATCCAGCGCGGGCGGGATCCGTCTCGTCTCGGGTCGGGTCGTGACACCCACATCGCTGAATAAGTCTTAAGCATTATCAAATATAGACTTCTCAGTTGAATTGAACAGTCGCTGGGCTCGGTGACGTGAGCTTGTAACCCAAGTGGGGGGTATTAAGGTACTCTGGATGATTGATCCGGTTCAAAGGCTTAGTTTGCATTAGGCTGAAGGTGCCCGACCCGATACGAGTTGGCAGCTAAATGCTGCGGGTTTGCAGTTAAAAACTGCGTCGACAGGCTAAATGCCTGAGTTAAGCCTCTCTAGTAGAGAGAGAAAGAGAGGGAGAGTTCCATTCGTTGGGGTCATAGTTATGGGTAGCTGGGCTTTCAATCTGGCCAAATTAGCCTTAGCCGTTTGTTTCAAACGGGTACTTTTTTTGTTTTTACCTTAATATTTAATTTCATTCTTTTATTTCTGCCATTTACGTTGAAATTTTAATTTGATTATTATTTTTTCCCATTTGTTTTCATTGATTTCCATGAAAAAATCATACCCTTTTTTTTTATTAAATTGTTATAGCTAAAATTTACTTGCTTAAATTTTTAACATGTGATCAATTTTTGCTGTGCTACAAAAATTATGGAAGAAAGATAATGCTTATTATCTTTATTTTATAAGAAAATCTAATGCACAGATATGAACATATTGCTAGAAAGGTTGTTGGAGAGAATAATTTGAATCAACATTATTGACAATGACATGCGTTAACGTTATTTGCAACAGCCAACAACAAATCTAAGGTGCGTACATAGTCAATGATGTTGGTTGAGAGACTTTGGTCGAGCAATGGTAGTCTAATTATGGTAGTTGAATGACATTGGTCAACGATGATAGTAGGAACAATAACGGCGGACTGATCATGATGATCAAACAGTAGTTGAGCAATGGTTGTATGATAATGGTGATTTTGCAGGAATACCTCCATCTTAGTCATTATTTGATTGAGCCCTATCTAAGTAAGGGTGCAAAATACAACATGAGATTCTACATCCGATGGAGCCCTATCTAAGTGAGGGTGCAAAATACTTAGCTACATTTGATGGAGCCCTATCTAAGTGAGGGTGTTAAATACAACAAGTATTTCTACAATGACCTAGAGATTTATAGTGATCACAGAAAGGAGGAAAATCCTCTATAACAACTTGTTAAGTATAACCAAGATTATCATGACCAATCCAAAATGACTCAGAGTAGGATTTAAAGATATCTAATTTGACAAGGACCCGAGCAATAGAAGGTCCCGATCCAAGAGCAGTTACATTATCAGTTTTTAATGGACACCCAAATAAATAGCCTAAACTGTGAAGAATGCGAGGAGAAAAAGAGATGCGGGCAAATGTTTGGGAAGGACACCCAAATCGGAATAACCGGAGACTCCACAAAAATATTAAATAAAGGAGACCACTTAAACAATTTCATGCAACAATTAAAGAAAAAGTAAGAACGATGTGAGAACACCTTACTATAATCCAAGTCATTCACCATCATGATTAAAACAAGTTTAGGATCCAAGACAGTCACAGAGCAATCCCCGTTAAGCTTAAGGTTAAATAAAAACTTATGAATCACTTCAAGTGGAGGTCAGTGATTTGAAAATTTACAAACCAATGCAAACTCGAAGGGTTTAGCAAGAACCAGCATTTCAGCTTTAGAAATCCATAACGATGGAAGGCCATGGTGCGTCCCGAGTTTGAGGTCGGGAAACTCAGACGAAGAAGAAGCTCCAGACAAAGCTTCAAGAAAGGAACAAGAAGATGATTTGCCATCAAGAAACCTACGATCAGTCAGCCGATTTACGTCCATCTAGCGAAACTGGTCGGATGAGGCACATATAACCGAGAAAACCCAAATAAAACAAAAGATATGGGAACCAAACCCAAAGCGATAAGATCATGAATAATCCCAGGAGCGAAGGAAGGAGAGGATGCTGCTAGGGCATAACCCTAGCGGAGCATCTCGAGGAGAAAGCCGAGGCCAACTTGATGTCACACTTGAGTCTACCATTTTCATAAATTTCACACTATTTTGACATGTTTATTAGGGTTAATAATATTTTAAATTATAACTAGTATTTAATAAATTTAATAACAATAGTTAATTATTAATTAGAATATTAACTTGTAATAAAGTTAATTAATATTTAATAAAAAATAAATTAAATTAATATTTCATTGATTTAATAATTAATATTTATTTTAATATTAGTATATAATAAATATAATTTTGATTATTTTCATTATAATGATATAAAATATAATTATTTATAATTATTATTAAATTCTTATTTGAGCGTACAAATTTTAAATAATTCATCAAATTTAAGGATAGATTTTTTAATGATTTTTAAAACAATTTTTTAATACAAATAAACAAAATTATTATTAAAAAATAGTTTTAAAAAATAAGAAAATAAAACTGTCCTAAATGAAGTCTTAAATAAATTTATTGTTTATCATGCCAATCAACTTTTAAGATTTAATATCCTCAGAATAAATTCAAATTTAGAGGGTTTAAATTCTGCATGAGTTAAATCCTACCTTCATCATCCAAACTAGCCCGTAAAGTCGTCACCTTTGTCGATTGCTTGACTTGATTTGTCGGTCTTGTCCCCTAAACTTTCAAGGCTTGCTCAGTCTCGATTTCTTGGCTCCACTCAGCGCAGGATAACATTGCCGCGCATTCCGCGAGCTGGATATCAAATCCGTCCACTCCAAAATAGCTCATCTTGATTGTCCGGGTTTCCAAAGATGCTGAAGCAGAATCCTAGCTCCGGTGGCCGGAGAAGTTCCGACGGAAACTGCGAGGTCGCTCAAACCTATTGCTCCTCGTACGGCTGGGCTTCCACGGCGCCGCGGACCTGCAGGAATCTTGTCGCGGTCTCCGTGAAGGTGTTTTGTGCGTGCTTTGGCTTGAAGATTGAGAGATCTACAAAAGAAGAGCCGGCCAAGAACTTCAAATCTCCTTCCTGTAACCTTCTTCTTGTCTTCTCTGCCTTTTATATATTTTCATTGCTGTGAAAAGTTTCCTCCTTTTGCCCCTTTAGGCTGTTGCTTTACTCAACAGAAGCGTTCGAGTATATCCCGTTTAGTTAGGCTTTTGAAGGGCAAAGAGAAGACTCCCACCGAGAGGGATTATAAAACTAAGTCGAACACCTACTCTTATTTTGGGAACCTAAGTGTATATTTATGACCTTAATTAGGGCAAAGCCAGGATTTTTTTAGTTGGTATAAATTAATGATTTTTATAGTATTCTCCATATTTTTATATTCGGGTCTAATATTTATATATATTTTTCTTTTAAGCGCATGCCATAGCAACCGGCAGTTGGTCCCGGTGTATTTAGGTGATGTGGGGCGTCTGGATTGGCGCATCTGGATTGGTGTCCGGACGAATCCAGACACCGGACGTAATAATTTTCCCAGTTGGCAAATTATTATGTCCGGTCACCGGACGTCAGGACACCCAATCCAGCCTCGCCACATCACCCAAATACATTGGGTCCCGGTGTATTTTGGTGACGTGGCACGTCTGGATTGGGTGTCGAAATGAATATGGACAGTCCCTCTTCTCTTCCGATCTCCTTCCAACAGGCAGCCGGTGGCGTCGAAACGAATATGGACGACCCTCTCGGCCTGCGGCTTTCGTTTGTTCGTTTGTAATAGCTTTCTTCTTGCTTTCTAAGGCTTCCTTTGGGACGGCTTTCAGCTTTGTAGCACATAAAACTGTTTTAATGTCGTCCCAAATGAAGACTAAAGCAACTTTCTAGCATAAAAATATTTTGAAAGCAATGAAAAAATAGTGACCAAAAGCTGTCACATATGAAACCTTAAGCCTAAGGCTTGTTTGGGACAGCTTTTTTGTTGTTTTCTAATACAGTTTTTTAGTACAAAAAATTATTCTAAAAAGCTGTTTTAAGAAGCAGTACGAAAGCTGTCCCAAAGGAAGCCTTAATGTTAGTTAGATATATTATAAGGCTACTGATTATGATTAGTTTTATACTAGTGCCAACTTAAGCATTCTGTTCGTCTTGTATAAATTCACAAAACTAGTGATTGCTTTAAAATTTCTTCAAATTTATCTTTTGAAATCAATTAATATAATAAAGTGTAGTCCACAGAGGTGTTGAGATTAACTGTATTTGATTCATCATTGCTAGCCACATTTTCGGGAAGCAGCCATGGTGGATCCCAAGGAAGCAGGATGAGAAGTTCAAGTAGAGGATTGTATGCCACAGGATCTAATCCATCCCAAAAACAACCTGGTAATAAAAAATTTACTTTACAGGAGATTTCTAAAGCAACTGAGAATTTCTGCTCCTCTCTTAAGATTGGGGAAGGAGGATTTGGGACAGTTTACAAAGGAAATCTTGATGATGGAACCTTAGTCGCAGTTAAACGCGCCAAGATGGTGAGTTGGTGAGATCCTTACCTTATTTTGTTGTGAAGAAGAGCTTCTGTTTTTACTGCAATCTTATTCACAGGGAGTCCGCGATAACTGTCGGAATATGGAGTTCCAGACTGAGATAAAAACCTTGGCTCGTGTAGAGCATTGCAATCTAGTCAGGTTCATTGGATATGTAGAACAAGATGGAGAGAAAGTAGTAGTCGTTGAATATGTACCTAATGGAACTCTTAGGGAGCATCTCGATTGTGAGTTCTATGGAAACCTCATATTCTGAAGTTGCTTTGCCTATTCTGAGCCCATCAAATTTCATGAATGACATGCTCTTGGTTATGTAGGCTTGCAAGGAAAGCCTCTTGATTTTGCTGCACGTCTGGATATTGCAATTGACATTGCTCATGCTGTTACTTACCTCCACATGTATGCAGGTCATGATTTCTTAGATATTAAAATAATTTCAAAATTTTTGTTTGTGTTCTACTGTGAAATTCTAAATCAGCTTTTCAGACAGCAAATTTTTACAAAAATGTCTGTCAACTGTGTTAGTTGCTTCATAAGAGGATGTTAATTTTATTTTTGCGTTAATTAGTTAGATCAAAACTATGCATTCTTACTTTCTAATTAGATTAATGTTGTGGTTATAACTTGTAGAGAGAGAGGGGGTGAGGACAGAGGGCCGGAGACGGTTTAAGAAAGAAAATGAAAATGTCAAAAACAGTTGAAGATGAAAATTTAATTAGCCACACTCACCCTGTTATCATGTTAAATTATCAAGAAGAATTTATCAGAAACATACTCCAATCCATTAAAATGTAGAATTGGTTCTTTTTAATCTTTCACGTCTAAAACATCGTTCAAGACAGAATATTTTTCACATAAGATGAGAAAATGAGAAGTACTGGTATAGATTGGGAATCATAATCTTACTTATACTTTCTTTCTTTTCTTATTTTAATCTCATTAAGAGTTTATTTTTAGCTTATCTTAAAATCATTAAATTATGCAAGAAGAGAGATTAAGACTAGGCAAACAAGAATGCCACAAGAAAATTCTAATTTTAATGCCCTCAATCTAGTAACAAGATTACATTTCAAAAATATACATCCTTATGCTTCATTTATTTTTATATCAAACTGAAACGAGTTTACTAAAAATAATATTTGTTTCGATCTTTTTAGAATCTATGAATTTGTCTGTTATTTAGCTTAGAAACTACTTAGCATTTTCTTTGTCAAAGTTTACACATTTGTTGGTGTTTGGAGTAGAATACTTCTTGATCATTCGTTGTGTGACTTGATCAACATGACCCAGCGAACATGCGTGCATGAATGATGAACTTGCATCTTCACAAACTGCCCTGTTAAAATCTCTTGAACATAAGTTGAGAAGTTCTGTTTTGATTTATTTCTTGGTCACAGTTATTGCTATATTTAGCTAGTTTTGAACCTTCAAACATATTCTACAGGCATCTTTGAATCCTTTGATAGCTAGACAGTTCTTATTTATTCTCTATTATGACTCTTTTATTCTCTTAAGAACATTCAATAAAGAACAGTGAATCTTTTTCTGTGCAGATCACCCTATTATCCACAGAGATATTAAATCATCCAATGTTCTTCTTACAGAAACACTACGTGCTAAGGTTACAGATTTTGGATTTGCTCGCTTTGGTATGAATGAAAGTGAAGCTTCCTATATTACCACCCAGGTTAAAGGGACTGCAGGTTACTTGGACCCAGAATACCTCAAAACCTATCAGCTCACAGAAAAGAGTGATGTTTTCTCCTTCGGTGTTCTGTTAGTGGAACTAATTTCTGGGAGGCGTCCTATAGAACCAAAAAGGGATCGTAAGGAGACAATAACAGCAAAATGGGTACGTTATATTTTATTTCGTTTGTCACTTCGGTTTTAAAGAAGTTCTTTATACAATATCTATGTAAGGTTGATTCCAAGGAACATGTTCAAGATGGAGACAAGCCACTTGCTCAAAAAGCAAAGTCCGTATGTTCCTTCTGATGATCTGGTTAGGAAAGCAAATGTATTAGATTTGATTTATGTTAAGAAAGGTAGATGTATACTTAAAAAGACTTGGTTATAAAATATTAGAAATGATCTTTCTTTATTAGAATTAGATGAGAATTTGACTCTTAATTAGGAGAGATTATTCTGTGCGAACGCCGAACATAGTTCACCGTCCGGAGACCAACCAGAATGTGCAACGTCAGCATTACCGAGCTAGGTACCGAGCGGTATCGAGCCGCAGTACCGATCAGTACCAAGCTGCAGTATTTAATAAGATAATGGAGAAAAAGGACTCATATAGCTGACCTCACATAGTAGGATAAAGGCTTATTGTTGTTGTTGTTGTTGTTGGCGATTTGAGATTACAAGCAACCTAAAAAAATGGGAGGAAGACGATGGAAACTGGTGGAGGAATAGCAGAAGAAATGGGCTAATTCATTTCATTCAAACACATTCATCCATTTCCTCAAAACAAGCCATTAAACACATCACCTATCATGTACCATGACTAGTTTCCAATAAATATTTCTCTAATATGTATAACAGCATATTTTTAATGGCAGATTAATTCATTAATTTGGGTTGGTTAAACACCATGCAGGTTATCAAAAATTTCTCTGAGGGAAATGCAAAGGAAACACTCGACCCAAATCTCCCAGCGAGCCCTTCCACAAATTTTGCCCTGGAAAAAATCCTTGAATTAGCATTGCAGTGCATGGCACCAACTCGACAGAATCGGCCCTGCATGAGGAGATGTGCAGAAATCTTGTGGAGAATTCGCAAGTATTATAGAGAGCTCTTCAATTCAGAGCCTCCCTCTGTGCCTTCACAATGGAGAAATTCTTCCTCTAATGGCAGAATGGAACCTCACCATCTTTCTTCTAAATCAAAAAATGAAGCGAGTAAAAGCTGCAGCGTGCAGCGTTCAGCTAAACAAGTGTATTGTAAGCAGAATTGAAGGCTGTAAAAAGAATAACACCACTGCCAATAATAAATGGTCAGTTTTTATATCATTTGGACATAATGTATTGTATATTGATAATTTGCTGGCCTTAGTTTATATTGGAGTTGGTGGAGGGACTGAGAGTTTGTTAAGTAAAGAAGATTGTAAGATACAGCTATGGCATGATTAGATGATTAGTCTTATTATATTTCTGCTTGTATAAATTTTATTATATCAGTACAGTCAGAATTGTCAGAGAAGGTTTTTTTTAATGGTTTTCTATTCACATATTCAAACATCGGCTATTTTGTTTGTGTTGAAATACCATCAAAGCCTCTGTTTCCAAAAAAGTGTTGATTTCATATTAAAGCCTCATTTGAGACAGCTTAATTGTCTTTTTAGTTTCGAAAAGACAGAAATTTTTGTTGTTGTTGTTGTTGTCTGTATCTGCCACTTTGCTGAAATGTTTTTTAAAGAATTGTATTTTTGTATTGTTTTCAAAAGCTTTTTAATACTAATTTCTCTGTTAGAAAATTCTATTCTCTGAAATAATAGTTTTAAAACTATCTTTTAAGAAAAGGTACTGAATAACAAATAACCAAATAAAGCCTACATTTCAAGCATTCCATGTCTTATGCATTTATGAATTGATCTGATGTGGAAACTTAGGTGGGTTAAAGCATTAGTTTAAGGGGAGTCAGACTCAACAAACTTATTATTTAGTAGGTAGTGCTAAATAGTGAGTGGCCATATTGATTGGGGGATGTTGGGTTGGTTAAAAAATGAATGCAGTGTAAAAAAAATATTTTAGAGTTTTTTGAATGAGTGTAAAGTAAATTCTGGTAAATGATTTTTTTTTTTAAAGTAAGATGAATATAGTGTAAAGTTTGAAGATGGTAGTGACTAGCGGAGGTGGTCAAGCGAACTTGCTTGTGGTATAAACCATTCTCGCTAAAAATTGTGCCAATTTTATTTAACTACATTAATAATTTACACTCTTAATTATGAACTCCAAACCATCTTTAAACCGAAATAATTTACATCCTTTAAAAATACTTAAAACCCATATGAAACTCATGAAATACTTTGTTAAATATTTCTATGCATTATAATATAATCATTCATAACAATGAAAGTTGTACCACATTTTAAATTAATAATGACTATAATAGAGGTATTCCTGCACAATCACCATCACCATACAAACATTGCTCGACTACTGTATGACCATCATGATCAGTCCATCGTTATTGTTCCTACTATCATCGTTGGACCAATGTCATACAACTACCGCCATTAGACTACCATTGCTTGACCAAAGTCTCTCGACCAAAGTCATTGTCAATAATGTTGATTCAAATTATTCTCTCCAACCACCTTTCTTGCAATATGTTCATATCTGTGCATTAGATTTTCTTATAAAATCAAGAGAATAAGCACTCTTTCTTCCATAATTTTTTTAGCACATAGCAAAAATTTATCACACGTTAAAAATTTAAGCAAGTAAATTTTAGCTATAACAATTTAATAAATAAAAAAAGGGTATGATTTTTTCATGGAAATCAATGAAAACAAATGGAATGAGGTTGAGGGGAAAAAATAATAATCAAATTAAAATTTCAACGTAAATGGCAGAAAGAAAAGAATAAAATTAAATATTAAGGTAAAAATAAAAAAAGTACCCGTTTGAATCAAACGGCTAAGGCTAATTTGACCAGATTGAAAGCCCAGCTACCCATACCATAACCCCAACGACATGGAACTCCCTCTCTTTTTCTCTCTACTAGAGAGGCTTAAACTCAGGCATTTAGCCTGTCGACGCAGTTTTTAACTGCAAACCCGCAGCATTTAAGCTGCCAACTCGTATTGGGTCGGGCACTTCAGCCTAATGCAAACTAGCCTTTGTGGATCAATCATCCAGAGTACCTTAATACCCCCACTTGGGTTACAAGCTCACGTCACCAAGCTCGGCGACTGTGCAATTCAATTGAGAAGTCTATATTGAATAATACTCAAGACTTATTCAGCGATGTGGGATTAATATATAGGCAAAGGTGGAAGCTTAGCATAATAAGAAATCCTTTATCGCTTACTTTCTGTAGAAGAAGAACATATTAAACGGTGCATATTTAGCACAGAATTAATGTGAATTATCTAAAATTAATTTGCTTAATTTGTTAGTTTAAATTCCATTTCATGCAATAATTCAAATACACCTCACTTGATCCTATTCACTTGAATGGGCACATTGATCAAATTTTGGTGTCAAATTATTTAATTTGATCCGAGGGAATTATGATATAGTTACTTTTGAATCTTCATGTCTGCCCGCTCGATTGAGATTTCCTTTCCCCCCCTAGTCACCTCTGCAAGGCGCTCGATGAGTTGAGCGGACAAGGTTGTCAATATTTGACACAATCCAAAAACCCGACCCAAAAAAGCCGGGCTCGGGTCTACCCGACAAGGAAATGGGTCGGATTCGGGTTCTTTTTTTCAACTCATTTGTAGTTCGGGTCAGGTTCGGGTCAACCCAACAACCCGGGTTTGACCTGAATTGACCCGCCAAATTGACTCGCTATCACGTGGTCACAACGTCACACGAAGTCGGACATTGTCGTGCACGCCCAACCCTGCCTGTCGATGTCCCGACTACCTCGCCTGGCTTGCCACGCCACACGTGGGCCTAGCCCAGGCCGCTTAGCTTCAACCGGCGACTTGCACTCGATCTCAGACAGGCCGAATGGCACTCGAAACTCGCGCTCGACCTCAGACCGGCCAGCTGTCGACAGAACTGCAACGACTACTATTGTACCTGATGTAACCTAAACCCTATTTCAGGTTCACGGGTCGGGTCGGGTCAAGGATGGACATCTGCACCCGTTTAGCTAAACAGGTCAGATTCGAGTTAACCAATTTATGTTCATGTCAAGTCAGGTTGAACCTGAACTTGACCCATTGACCCGAAATAACATGAAGGCCACCATCACTATCAACATTGTCACAAGATATCACCATTAGACCAATGTATGGCATTGAAATTAACGCTAAGGCCTACTGACTTCGTCATGAAAGCGAGTCAATAAAGAATCTGATTCAGTCCAAACTTGCATTGCTATCAAAATTAGACCAATTTATACTTTTTTTTTTGCAACAAAAAGGGATGCCCGTTTGGTTCACCAGACCCAACTGCTACTTGGTTTGACCGGACCACCGTTCCGTTTTCCATCCACCGATGAGAGCTAGAGGTATACGCTGCTCTGTTAAACCAGCCTCACGCGTTCCCCTCTAATTTAGAACACAACTGTTTCAGGCCTTCGCCAAACACAGTTGCAATTAACTACCCATCTTGGATCGGGCGGGCCAATATTCAGCCCAGATACAAACCAGCTAATGGATCAGACGAATCATTCAAGGCACCCAACTGCCCCCACACGGGTTACAAGCTCGCGCTGCTGAGCTCAGCGGTTGCATGGTGCATTCAAGAGTTCTATATATGACAATATATAACAGGATTTAGCAATGTGGGACTAAAAAAGCGAAAGTGAAATATTAACATAATAAAAATTCCAACGTCTCATGGTTTGGGCCAAAAAGGATCCTATTTTTAACTGAAAAACCATATTACATTAGCAATTTTTAGTTCATTCATCGGGATTTTAACGGTGCATTATTAGCACAGAAATTTTTTTTTCCTTTTACATAATAAGATATTCCAAATTCCAATAGCTTCTTGTGATAATTTTTCATATGATAATATAATTTGGTGCAATTGATCAATTAGGTTTCAAAATTCAGAATATATTTAATAGAAGATTTACATATTTTCACATTTTATTTATATAAAAGTTTATATACATATCAATTATAATAATTCACTCTTTTGATAATCGATGACTAGTGTAGCTAGGCTCTTGAATTTCAATATTGTCTTGTTAATTTATTTAACTTGTCAGGCTAAATTCGATAAGCATAATATTTCAAATACACCTCGAGAGTATAAAGGAAAATTATAGATTACTAAAAAAACTATGAGTTTCAAAATTGGCAAAGTATCCACTATATCGACACCAAAAGTTTCTTGAATTATTCTTCATCATCTTCTATTTATAGGGTTCTAAGTGCTATATGAAATGCTACACAAGAAAAAGTTAAAAAGTACAACGCTACATAGAATATTTGTACAATGTTACACACTACTCTAAACAAGTATTATCTCATGCTTCATCGAAGGAGGCTGCTGTTGGAAGGCTTTGAGGAGTTGCTTATGGGCAATTTCAGTAGTGTCGAGTGTGCTTGGGCTAGTGCTTATATGAGAGGTGAGCAGTAGTTGGTGAGTAGGTTGACGATTTCGGTGACTTGAATGGAAGCTCTAAGTTTGCCTAAATAGAGAGAGGCGAGTAAGATTTTTCACGGGGAAAGGAGAACTCTTGCTTGGAAGGTCGCGGCGAGTTGAATTTAGGGCCTCATGAGTACGTAGGTGCCTTCATCTAGCTTACTTTGGTGAAAATTGTCTTCCTACAAGAGAGAGAGTGACTGAGATATGATTCAAAAATATGGTAAGTGCTGAGTTACCAACTCTAGAGATGAATCATCAATTTGCTCATGTAGCGTGAGCTCCCAAGAAAGCTTAGGTGAGTGGCACCTTTTGGTCCCTTTAGCTGAGTTCTCCTTCGACTTCCAATATAAACTTATTCTATCATAAATGTGCATCAAGGTGAGGCTAATCTAACGAGCCCTAAATTTTAGTTAATTTAATTCGACAATTTGAGCCGACTTAATTGTTGGCTTTATTCTTTATAGAAATTCGAAATATCATTTAAGAAAGAGAAATTGTTGTGTATTATATAAAGTAAGCTAGGAAATTTCGGTAATTTATGCTT